GAGCAACAGGAGCCTTGTCCTCATCCGGCCGCGAGTCTCGCTCCTAGGCGATCCGGTCCGAGCATCCTCTGCCCCACCCCAAAATCATAACCACATGGATGCCCAAATCAATGGGGGTAAAGTCTATCTAGGGACCCAACCGAGACAGAACAAAGCGAATGCCTTGTGAATGCTTTGCGTGGGAGGGTGGCATGAAGCAGTGATAGTGTTTTGATATACCATTGGTCTACCTGGAAGAAACGTGTTCTTTCCGGCAAGTCATTGCAAGTGACTGCGCCCTCCTCGGCCGGCGACTGGTCACGGTCACGATCATCTCCACGACGCGCCTGAACAAGTGGGTATCAGACACCCCCAAAAAGTTTCCAAACTCTCGATCTCAATTTTTGTCGAGCCCGTTGCCGAGAACGATCCGACGATGTGCGTATACCATGGCGCCTCACGCCCCTCCTTCTCGCGTTGCTCGACCTCCATCATCTCTTCCAAAGCGTCCAGCAGGTCATCCTGCGACGTGGCCGGCGTACGCGGGGTATGACAAGGTTACAATCGAGGTTCGGGATCGTATAAGTTTGGGACTTGTATAGGCATCCCAAATGGAGCCAACCCAACAATTTATGAGGTCTCAACTCTTTCTGGGCTGATGCTTTTCTGGATGGTTCAAAGTGTCCAGTGATCCATATACCAGCCCGAAGGTACTTTAAGGTGGCTTTAATTTGGAAGGCGCAAGAATATTCTTGGAAGGAATGGTTTGCTATTTCAACGTTTGGATGACATTGAACCAAGCATAAAGTCGAGAAGGACACGTCCGAAAAACGAACGACCCACAAAGCACGACGAAGTAGCCGCCGTGGTCGTGCGACCTTCTTCGGATGCTTCGCGCGGCAATATTGCTGGTAGAGCGGCCATAAGCCAGCAGCGCCGCGCCGTTTGCAGCATTGCAGCAAGGGCATGTGCCATGGTCGACGAAGTCCCACACCGACATCATCTGAATGAAATTCAGCCGAAACGGCATCCGGCAAGTGTCACTGCATCTGCGACGGTCAAATTCACCGGCGGGCTGCAACCCTGAAAGGCGCCACCTCCAACCTTGAAAGGCACCACCTCCAATGTGGGTCGCTGAATCTGAGAGCCAACAACACGGAACCCCGAAAACACCATTCCGAAGGTGAATCACCAAATGGCCAAGTTCACTAATGGTTTGCTTTGTTTCCCTCTCTTCTGTGCTCTTTGTGCGTCAGGCGCTTTCCGTCCTTTTTGGGTTACTCTTGGTTCTTTGTCTTTGCGAGCCTCGTTGCTAAAAAACTGGCTTTAAGCGTCAATGTGATTTTAGACGGTTGGTTCTTTGTCTTTGTGGGCCTTGTTGCTAAAAAAACTGGCTCTAGGTCCCAATGTGATTTTCGTGTTGTTGGCTTCGTAATTTTGGGTTTCCTGGTTGGTTTTCCTATGTGCTTTCCATGTCTTTTAAGTTGGCTTGCCTTGTTTGCCTCTTCTCAAGTAGGTTAGCCTTGATCCAGTGCGTTGTCTGCCCAAAAGCGTAGTTTCATACTTTTGGGGTTGCCGTGTCCATTTTCCCAGGTGCTTTCCATTCTTTTCAACAGGGTTTGCCTTGGTCGTGTCCATTCTGTGCTCTTTGTGTCTTCTTGTGGGCCTTGGTGTCAAGAAATTCTCATCTTCAGTTGATTTGCTTCGTTTCCGTCTCTTCTGTGCTCTTTATGCCTTAGGTGCTTTCGATCCTTTTAAATGGGTTACCCTTGAGCCTTGTTGCTAAATAAACTGGCTTTAAGCCTCAAGATGATTTTAGACTGTTGGTTCTTTGTCTTTGTGGGCGTTGTTGCCAAAAAACTGGCTCTAGGTCCCAATGTGATTTTTGCGTTGTTGGCTTCATACTTTTTGGTTTCCTGGTTGGTATTCCTATGTGCTTTCCATGTCTTTTAAGTTGGCTTGCCTTGTTTTCGCCTCTTCTCAAGTAGGTTAGCCCTGATCCAGTGCGTTGTCTGCCCAAAAGCGTGGTTTCATACTTTTGAGGTTGCCGTGTCAATTTTCCCAGGCGCTTTCCATTCTTTTCAAAAGGGTTTGCCTTGCTTGTGTCCATTCTGTGCTCTTTGTGTCTTCTTGTGGGCCTTGGTCGAGTAACTGTTCACAGGCACCGTGAGCGTACAGCTGCTGGAGCAATGGGCTGTCGAGACCAAATGCAGGGTACACGTGGCCAAAATCATTTGAAAAGCCCCTACGAGTTGTACACAAGTTCTTGCCCTGACCACTGACCAACAAGGCCACCGAACAGGAAACTTAACGGCCCCAAAACCTCAGACTGGGTAGCCGAGAGACAGGAGTATGATTGTGAGGACCAAGGGTAAACAACATGTTTGCTTCTAATAGCTGCTGATTTCAAGCCTGTCCGCTTTAGGAATTGGACTCCCAAAAGAGGATGACAAATAGAGCGCGTGAAAGCAGCAAGCATCAACTAGTGGTAGGCCAGAAAGGATTACGGGTTGCTCAAAGTTGACTCCAACACAAACATCATCACCAACTGGGCGGAAAACCTGGACGGTTTCCGTGGCCGAACAAGTGGCCTGGAAGGACCTTGTTTGAGCTTGCAAAGGTGAACCCAGGCCACTTGTTAAAGAACCCCAACAAATCCCCAAAGCTGCCAAGTGACGCAGCCTCTTTTGAAGTCTTCGGCGTTTCGTTGCTTCGTTTCCCAAAATCTTGTGGACACGATACCTGGTTGAACTTTTGAATGTCCGCCCATCCGCCCATGCATTTCACACTTCTAACATCTTCTAGCGATGATGGAACATGAACCAAAGCAGCACTATCAATCACACTCACACTGCTTGATGTGACATAAAGGCCCTGCCTTTAAGCCGACTGCAGATCAAAGGCAAGGCCGCTGCAGCATCAAGACGAAGTCTGTATAGACTCCGTCTCTTGCGGGCTTTCTTTCAGACGCCTGCGTCCACATGTCAAGGGTCTCAGAAACTATGCTTGCTGGTGTGCTTGAGCTTGGGTGAAACTTTGTGAGATTATCTTGTACGTGTTGTATCTCCACTTTCAGCCTTCAGCCCCAGCCCACCCAATAAGGTCTCCTCGTACCTTTCGCTGGCGAAAATCACAGAGGAAATGGCCCGTGTTTGAGCGTCGTGGCCGGTCACGAGCTCCCCCAATTCCTCCTTGACGCTCTGGGCCTTAGTTTGCAAATTGAGATTCAAACATGGTGTGGTGGTCATTCATTGGACCCCAGGGACAGGGGGTTCTCCGGGAAGGTATCATCTTCATAACAATCATCGGCCAGGTGGCTCATCCTTCGTGACCTTGTAGCTACTGCCACCACACGAAGAGCCGTAGACAACGCAGCCACTTTTTTGAACTTGAAAAAGTGAAGCCAATTTGTTAAATTAAGAACCCCGCGCTCCAAGACACAATTTCCCTAGGGTTGACGGGCCTCTGCATGCAAACCCTTTGGGCGGGGCACCACCAAGGCTTGAGCTTAACAAGCTGAACGAAGCTAGAGGCGATGGACACATGGGGTTTCGGTGGGGTTTCGGTAATTACATTTAATGATCAAGCTAATGTGGGATTGATACGTTTTGCCAATCTTTTGACTGATTTTGATTTCCCACGAAAGGGATCAAAATAGCAGCAGCAGCAGCAGCAG